ATCACAGATGAATACAGGATATTCAATTGAATACAGAAATACAGTTGAATACAGAAAAAAAAGTCAAATGAAAATACATCCACTTAGATTGTAACTCGTCTTCAAAATGATCAAGGACAATATGGTATTTTCTATATATGCAAAGAAATAATGATTTGTTTAGGAGAATACACACATACACGCTCGTCTATATTGTATCTAGCGTGATTAGTTATATTCTTTCTTTAATACACAAAAATCACATAACATGAAGACTCTCGAACGTAAAACTGTGTAAATTGTGTAAATCAAGAAAATTTTAAATATTGTGAGTCGTAAAAAGTGAAAACTGTAAAAAAATGTATTTCAGATTTATAAATAATAGTAAATGTTGTAAATTGTATAAATCAGGAAAATTGTGTATATTGTAGAAAATCGTGAAAAGTGAGAATTGTAATTTAAATTAAATCTAAATTCTAAATATTATGGAAAATTGGTAAAAATGTGTAAATTACTTTAAAAATCACGACACTTTTAATTTCTCTCACAAAATTCAGGTTAGGATGAAGTGATACACATATCCATAATTATACATATACACTTTTACATATACATAAATTATACACAATACATACATAACTTCTTAACAGACCATTAGCCTATACATATGTCGAACTAAACAAACAAACAAACACACACACACACACACACACACACACACACAAACACACACACACCACAGAAACTAAATCCACCTTGGTTCTCTGACCCTTAACACTCGGGGCAAAAATTCCAGTCGAATATCTACCCATCCTCGACATCACAAAAGGGAGGCAGGAATTGTGTACCAAACGGGTGTGGATGATTGACTACAACACGACACAAACCATTGACTTTATAGACGACACGACACAAATCATTGACTTTATACACGACACAAAAACCATTGACTTTATAGACGACACGACACAAACCATTGACTTTATAGACGACACGACACAAACCATTGACTTTATACACAACACGACAAACCATTGACTTTATAGACAACACGACACAAACCATTGACTTTATAGACGACACGACAAAACCATTGACTTTATAGACGACACGACACAAATCATTGACTTTATACACGACACAAACCATTGACTTTATAGACGACACGACACAAACCATTGACTTTATAGACGACACGACACAAACCATTGACTTTATACATAACACGACACAAAACCATTGACTTTATAGACAACACGACAAAACCATTGACTTTATACAACACGACACAAACCATTGACTTTATACACAACATGACACAAACCATTGACTTTATAGACGACACGACACAAATCATTGACTTTATACACAACACGACACAAACCATTGACTTATAGACAACATGACACAACCATTGACTTTATACACAACACAACACGACACAAACCATTGACTTTATACAAAACACGACACAAACCATTGACTTTATAGACAACACGACACAAAACCATTGACTTTATACACAACACGACACAAAACCATTGACTTTATACACAACACGAAACACGACACAAACCATTGACTTTATACACAACACGACACAAAACCATTGACTTTATAGACGACACGACACAAACTATTGACTTTATACACAACACGACACAAACCATTGACTTTATACACAACACGAAACACGACACAAAACCATTGACTTTTATAAAACAACACGACACAAACCATTGACTTTATACACAACACGAAACACGACAAACCATTGATTTTATAATATAACACGACACAAACCATTGACTTTATAGACGACACGACACAAAACCATTGACTTTATACACAACACGACACAAACCATTGACTTTATACACAACACGACACAAACCATTGACTTTATACAAGGAAATCTCTGCCCTCCCCCCTAAATGATATACACTAAGCCAGCTCTTTAAAAATCCCACAACACAATCAGAGGTTTAACTCCTGTCAGCTCTCACCTGTGACCAGCGTACAACACAAAGATTAAAACTGTCAGCCAAATGGACAGATGAAATGATAGATAGTGCGTATGATGGTGATGGATAATTGAGGGTCTTATAGTGGATAATTGAGTCTTATATAGTGATGATGGTGATGGATAATTGAGATTCTTGTTGCAATTTTGTTTTTCTTATTACGATAATTATTTCGATTATTAAAGGTATAGTTATTATTACATTTCTGAAACTCTCATCATTATTATTATTATTTTATTATTATTATTATTATTATTATTATTATTGATAATAACAGTTTTGCTATTATCATTTAGATTATAATTTTATCATACTTGCATTTCTGCTCATTTTATTATTATTATATTATTATTATTATTATCAGTAGTAGTAGTAGTAGTAGTAGTAGTAGTTGTTGTAGTATACTATTATTTTCTATCAATATTATTTTTATTATTATTATATTATTATTATTATCATCATTACTATTACCATCAATATATTTCTTCATCATCACAGACAATTAAAAGCCACCCCAGAATCATCTTATTTTAGTAATTGTTTACGGCAATATTTTCACCTGAAAATATTGTTTTGTTCTTATTTCTACTTTATTGTTGTTTGTAATTCCTGCTTCGTTGTGACGATTGATATAATGGAAGGAAATCAAGAGTGAGAGAGACAGAGAGAGGAAAACGAGGGATATAAGGAAATAAATAAAGGTGAAGGAAAGAGAAGAGAAAGGAGAGCAAAACGAAAGAGGAAGAAACGGGGGATTGAAGGAAATGGAAAAAGAGGAAATGGAAGGACAAGATAAACGAAGGATAATAAGATAACGTAATAATAATAATAATAATAATAATAATAATAATAATAATAATAATAATAATAATAAAATAATAATAAGTTTTGTCATTTTTAAGATATTAATAGTATGAATATCAACGGTATAATGGCGTGTAGTGTGAATATCAACGGTATAATGGCGTGTAGTGTGAATCAACGGTATAATGGCGTGTAGTGTGAATATCAACGGTATAATGGCGTGTAGTGTGAATATCAACGGTATAATGACGTGTAGTGTGAATATCAACGGTATAATGGCGTGTAGAATATCAACGGTATAATGGCGTGTAGTGTGAATATCAACGGTATAATGGCGTGTAGTGTGAATATCAACGGCATAATGGCGTAGTGTGAATATCAACGGCATAATGGCGTGTAGTGTGAATATCAACGGTATATGGCGTGTAGTGAATATCAACGGTATAATGGCATGTAGTGTGAATATCAACGGTATAATGGCGTGTAGTGAATATCAACGGTATAATGGCGTAGTGTGAATATCAAAGTATACGGCCTTATTTAACTGCATATTGCGTTCAGATGATCATAATGGCGTTCAGTATGAGTCTGGAGAGTATTATGGCACGTATTATAGTTAAGAGTGTAATGATGGCGCAGATTATGAGACTGAGCTATTTTACTGGCGCGAGATGTTAACGCTGAAGATAATAATGTTGTATAATGCCAGTTAAGGTGTCATAATGGCGCGGAACATTATAATGATGGGTAGTGAGCCCTCGTGATAATGGCGCGGGGCTGAACTTCATAATAATGGGGTACATGTTCAAGATGATGGCGTGAAGTAATGTTTAATAAGGCGCGGCGTGAATGTTCATTATAAGGAGCATGGTGTAAACATTCATGATAATGGCGCGGGGAGTGTGGCTGTTCATGGTGATGGCGCGAGGCAGTGACTGACTGTTCATGATGATGGCGCGGAGTAGTGAGAGTGGGGCAGGATAATGGCGTGGTGTGGAGGGTGGCGTGGTGTCGGGTATCGAGGAGTGGCGGTGAGGGCGGCCGTGTCGGGGGGCCTGAGAGGAGGTAATGGTGTATCCTGACGAGGGTGTGAGGGAGCGGCGCGCCCGGTCGATAGCCACGTCCCCATTATTCCACATTGAGGCCTGGGCGGCGGCGCTTGTTGCTCATCAGAGGCCGGGCCTGTTACCGAATCAACACGGCTGTAACGCGATCTGCCACCGACCACCGCCGCCCGCCACTGATTGGCAGACCGGTCGATTGACAGTTGTCATGGCGACGGAGGACTGTGCAACAGGAGGTAGGATCGCTGTATGGGCCGGGCTAGGTGTGGTGCGTTGAGTGGTGATTATGACCATGGGAGGCGGATCAGTGTTAAGCCCCGCCTCCTGGGCCGCCAGCGGCACTGAGCGACCGCCACGCTGGAGTCCTCGCCTGCCGTTTAACCCGCTGCTGGCGTCCTCCGTCGCGGATCTGCTGCGGGCGCTGCAGCAACATGGCGCCTCTCATGAGTGACCTCGGTGGCTCTTGGTTCCTTGGCTCCTTCGGGGTTCTAGCGCTAAACGCCTTGAGTGCCAATGCGACGGGCACTGGTAGTTTTGGGGATCAGCAGCCCTGTAGTGCCCACACCCATGGTGGCGCTACCTCACTCTTCCTTCACCGCCGCCCAGGCTGTCTGCGAAACTTTGGAAGAGAGTGGCGACATGGAGCGCCTTGGACGCTTCTGTATTACTGCCGGTGGCTCACCCTCATCTTCACGACCTCAACAAGCACGAGGCGGTGCTACGAGCGCGGGCTCTTGTCTCTTTCCACGTGGAAACTTCCGCGAGCTCTACGCCATTTTGGAGTCACAACGATATTCCAAACCTTCTCACACGGCGGCTGCAGGCGCTGTGGCTGGAGGCGCACTACCAAGAGGCAGAGCGTCTCGCGGCCGCCCGCTTGGGCCTGCCGACAAGTACCGCGTCCGTAAGAAGTTCCTTCCCGAGGACCATCTGGGATGGCGAACAGAAGACCCACTGCTTCAAGGAACGCACAAGATCTCTACTGAGGGAGTCATACCTGCAGGACCCTTACCCTAACCCCAGCAAGAAGAGGGAGTTGGCCTCGGCCACGGGTCTCACCCCACACAGGTCGGCAACTGGTTCAAGAACCGTCGACAGCGTGACAGAGCAGCAGCCGCTAAGAACAGGTAAGCCGCCGCTTCGCCCTGGGGCCACGCGGCCTGCCCAGGCCAACCAGGGTACGCGCCTTCATTACTGGTAAACTGACGGGGAGGGGGTCCCTACCTCGCCTCTTGCCACTTCCCACACTGCCCCTCACAAATACCTGCTACAGCAGTAGACACTCGGGGGAGCAACCTGAGCCAAACATGAACTCCTCCACCAGTGAGTGGGCTTTCCAGTGCGGGTTTATAGGACCACCCTGCAGAAGACGACACACTACTCTACTTACCTTCAATTAATCAATGAATCACAATACAGCTTTATCTTGCTAACTTTACTCACACGAGAGGGAAACCTTACTCACTGGCTCCTCCATTATCCTCACCCATCCATCATATAGGACCCTCCCCTGCCCCCATAAAAGGAAAAAGTAAAGGCTCCCAGTATATGGTGCTGTAGTACATGTGTCTACCCCAGCGCGGACAATGGATTGCTTGGGCGTGTTCCACATGATCACGTCCTCTGTGGGGGCAGCTGTACCTCCTATCTTACACCGTCAATGCGACTGATCAATAAACCTCAGAGTTGTTGGTGCGACGAGATGAATGACAGCTTCCCACACACATACACACCCACACGTCACACACACACACACACACACACACACACACACCCACACGTCGCACACACACCCAAATCTATCGCACATAAAAAATAAATAAATTGAATGAAACTTATATAACAAACCAGCCAGCAGAGATAACCAGGAACAAATCACCCTCATGTCATTTCCTCATAATAGTCATACACGTCTCATGTCATCCTCTGCCTTATAATATAGTCATATCAGGTGTAATAGACATGAGGTATTTTTCACAACACAATACCATTTCAATGATCACTTCTACTTCATGTTTTTCCTCTTCCTTCATGTCAACATTCATTAGGTTAAGGAGTCATGTTAGCTGCCTCTATATAATGACTCTCCTCCCACAACCTCTATAATGACTCTCCTCCCCAACCTCTAATGACTCTCCTCCCACAACCTCTATATAATGACTCTCCTCCCCACAACCTCTATATAATGACTCTCCTCCCCAAACTTATAATGACTCTCCTCCCACAACCTCTATATAATGACTCTCCTCCCCACCACCTCTATATAATGACTCTCCTCCCACAACCTCTATATAATGACTCTCCTCCCCACAACCTCTATATAATGACTCTCCTTCCCACAACCTCTATATAATGACTCTCCTCCCACAACCTCTATATAATGACTCTCCTCCCACAACCTTTATATAATGACTCCTCCCACCACCTGTATATAATGACTCTCCTCCCCACAACCTCTATATAATGACTCTCCTCCCCACAACCTCTATAATGACTTTCCTCCCCACAACCTCTATATAATGATCTTCTCCCCACATCAAGTGTAATCGCCAGAGGGGTGTTGACTTAAGGTGGGCGGGAGGATGATGGTGGTGGGGAGGGGAAGAGTGGTGGGGAAGAGGTGGGGAGGAAGGAGATGGGGTGGGGGAAAGGGTGGTAGGGACAGGGAGTAGGTAGGGGGGCGGAGGGGAAGGAGGGGACGGGGAGTAGGAGGGGACGGGGAGTAGGGAGGGGGACGGGGAGTAGGGAGGGGGAAGGAGGTTTACCTATCATTTAATTTACTACAATGAGTTTACCACAGCAGAGTTTAATGACAAGAAAAAAGGCTCGTATGGGTTCATTTCACGGTGCGTTCACATGGAGAGGGTTCTAATCCTACCCACAGTGCGTTCACAGAGGGTTCTAATCCTACCCACAGTGTGTTCACATGGAGAGGGTTCTAATCCTACCCACAGTGCGTTCACATGGAGAGGGTTCTAATCCAACCCACAGTGTTCACATGGAGAGGGTTCAATCCACCCACAGTGTCACATGAAGAGGGTTCTAATCCAACCCACAGTGCGTTCACATGAGAGGTTAATCCTACCCACGGTGCGTTCATGGAGAGGGTTCTAATCCTACCCACGGTGTCTACATGGAGAGGGTTCTAATCCTACCCACAGTGTTCACATGGAGAGGGTTCAATCCTACCCACGGTGCGTCTACTGAGAGGGTTCTAATCCCCACCCAGTGCGTTCAATGGAGAGGGTTCTAATCCTACCCACGGTGTGTTCACATGGAGAGGGTTCTAATCCTACCCACAGTGTCTCACAGAGAGGGTTTTGTCAAGGAACGTTAGGGAGTTTCAATAAAGAGGGGACTGTGTTCACTTCACCTCCACCAGCGTTCACTTAACACTCACACATTAATTTCTTGAGTAAATAAAAGTAAAGTTTATTGCCTCATTATTATTACTATATTATCACTATTGTTACTCTTATTACTAGTGCTATTATTACTATTATATTATTATTGCTATTATTATTATTATTATTATTATTATTATTATTATTATTATTATTATTATTATTTTATTATTATTATTATTATTATTATTATTATTATTAACCCAATTTCGCTGTTTCCAATTCATTTATATATATATATATATATATATATATATATATATATATATATATATATATATATATATATATATATATATATAATTATCTTCTTTGACCTTACCAAGATAATTAAAATCTATCACCAGTTTTATCGACAATTCATCTATTTATTCATTTGAGGGAAATTTTATCATCCTTACGTTTTGAATGGTAAGATTTATTTGACCTCATTTTATTTCATATTTTATTTTCGGATCATAATAATTTAATCTTGTTTTATTTACTCCAATTCTATTATCTTTATCTTTATTCTTTACTTTATTCCCTGTCTTTGTTTTTCTTCATTATTTTACTTCTTTCTGCTATGTATGTATGTATGTATGTATGTATGTCATCAGAGAGACATGTACCTCCTCTCCCACACTAATAATATTACGGCACAACTTCCATGATCCCTCACTCTCTTGCTCACACCTCAACCCCCTCTCTCTCTATCTCTTTCTCTCTCTCTCTACCTCCTTCCCTCTTTCTCTCTCCTCAGTCCTTTTTTTTCTGCCTCTCCCATTATCTCCTCCCGTGCCCCCATGTTCTTCCTCCTTCCTCCTGCTTTTCCATCTTTCTGTCACTAGTTATTTTCTCTTCCTCATTTACCCTTTCCCTCCCCCAACCTGATCCTCCTCCTCTAACCTACCCCTCCCAACCTGATCCTCCTCCTCCTAACCCTACCCCTCCCCCAACCTGATCCTCCTCCTCCTAACCCTACCCCCAACCTGATCCTCCTCCCTCCTAACCCTACCCCAACCTGATCCTCCTCCTCCTAACCCTACCCCTCCCCAACCTGATCCTCCCTCCTAACCCTACCTCCCCCAACCTGATCCTCCTCCTCCAACCCCACCTCCCCCAACCTGATCCTCCTCCTCCTAACCCTACCCCTCCCCAACCTGATCCTCCTCCTCCTAACCCTACCCCTCCCCAACCTGATCCTCCTCCCTCCTAATCCTACCCTCCCAACCTGATCCTCCTCCCTCCTAACCCTACCCCCAACCTGATCCCTCCTCCTAACCCTACCCTCCCCAACCTGATCCTCCTCCTCCTAACCCTACCCCTCCCCCAACCTGATCCTCTCCCTCCTAACCCCACCCTCCCCAACCTGATCCTCCTCCTAACCCTACCCCTCCCCAACCTGATCCTCCTCCCTCCTAACCCCTACCCTCCCCCAACCTGATCCTCCTCCTCCTAACCCTACCCCTCCCCAACCTGATCCTCCTCCCTCCTAACCCTACCCCTCCCCAACCTGATCCTCCTCCCTCCTAACCCTACCCCTCCCCAACCTGATCCTCCTCCTCCTAACCCTACCCCCCCAACCTGATCCTCCTCCTCCTAACCCTACCCTCCCCAACCTGATCCTCCTCCTCCTAACCCTACCCCTCCCAACCTGATCCTCCTCCTCCTAACCCTACCCTCCCCAACCTGATCCTCCTCCCTCCTAACCCTACCCCTCCCAACCTGATCCTCCTCCTCCTAACCCTACCCTCCCCAACCTGATCCTCCTCCCCCCTACCCTCCCCAACCTGATCCTCCTCCCTCCTAACCCCACCCTCCCCAACCTGATCCCTCCTCCTAACCCTACCCCTCCCAACCTGATCCTCCTCCTCCTAACCCTACCCCTCCCCAACCTGATCCTCCTCCTAACCCCACCCCTCCCAACCTGATCCTCCTCCTCCTAACCCTACCCCTCCCAACCGATCCTCCCTCCTAACCCTACCCCTCCCCACCCTGATCCTCCTCCCTCCTAACCCTACCCCTCCCAACCTGATCCTCCTCCTCCTAACCCTACTCCCTCCCCAACCTGATCCTCCTCCTCCTAACCCTACCCCTCCCCAACCTGATCCTCCTCCCTCCTAACCCTACCCCTCCCCAACCTGATCCTCCTCCCCTCCTAACCCTACCCCTCCCCAACCTGATCCTCCTCCTCCTAACCCTACCCCTCCCCAACCTGATCCTCCTCCTCCTAACCCTACCCCTCCCCAACCTGATCCTCCTCCCTCCTAACCCTACCCTCCCCAACCTGATCCTCCTCCTCCTAACCCTACCCCCCAACCTGATCCTCCTCCCTCCTAACCCTACCTCCCCCAACCTGATCCTCCTCCAACCCTACCCCCTCCCCCAACCTGATCCTCCTCCCTCCTAACCCTACCCTCTTCCCCATCTCTATACCCTCCCACACCTCCCATCCTCCCCTTTCCACCTAACTACTTCATTTCTCCCTCCCACACATCCTCCCTCCCTTCCCCCTCACCCTCCTATCCTCCCTCCTCTCCTTCCATCCACCCCTCTACCCTACCTTCCCTCCCTCTTTATCCCCTTTTTTCTCACCCCAACCCTCCTTTCCTCCCCTTACCCCTCCTTCCATTCATCCTTCCATCCACCTCACCTTAACTCCTCCAAACCCCGCCCCTCCTAACCCCACCCTTCCTTGCCAAAACCTCCATCCCTCTTTCTCACCCCACCTCCTCTAGCCT